GAGAAATTTATTCTCTCACAGTCTAGTAGGATACAAGACCAAATTCAAGGCGTCAGCTCTAGGAGAAGGCTTTCTCTGTCGGCTCTGGAGGAAGGTCCTTGTCATCAGTCTTCCCTAGTTCTGGGAAAATCTCAGCACAGGAACCTCAGGTCTAAAGGACACGCTCTGCTCCCAGCACTGCTTTCTTGGTGGTATGAGGTCCCCAGGGGAAGGATTTCTCTCTCTGTCGGCTCTGGAGGAAGGTCCTCGTCATCATCAATCTTCCCCTGGACTAGGAGCTTCTCTGCGCAAGAACCTCGGGTCCAAAGGACGCACTCTGCTCTCGGCACTGCTTTCTTGGTGGTATGGGATCCTCAATTCTCTGCTTGCTTCCCTTTCCTTTTATCTCTTGTAAGATAAAAGGTGGTACAGGCCACACCCTAGGGAAACTCCTTTTACATTGGATCAGGGATGTGACCTGGGTAAGGGTGGTGTTACAATCCCACCCTAATCCCCTTTAACATAAAATCACAATCACAAAATGGAGGACGACCACACAATACTGGGAATCATGGCCTAGCTAAATTGATACACACATTTTTGGGGGGACATAATCCATGACACCAAGCATGATGTCCTTCTCCAGGGACTGGTCCCTCCTGATAACATGTCCAAAGTATGTGAGACGAAGTCTTGCTATCGTTGCTTCTAATGAGCATTCTGGCCGTAGTTCTTCCAAGAGAAACTTGTTTGTTCTTCTGGCAGTCCATGGTATATTCAATATTCTTTGCCAACACCATAATTCAAAGACATCAATTCTTCTTTGGCCTTCCTTATTCACTGTCCAGCTACCCTGGGTAGCATCGAATGCCAGTGCCCAGAGAGATCGGGGCATTCAGAGCTTTAGAGTAATTCTAGGTTTCACTGCTGAGGAGACATTCACAAAGTGGTTTTCCTGATACACTTAACCTCACCTAACTTTCTATACCCTGATCTGAATTGTGGGCTTAATAGTAGGTAACTTGAATAAATGTTAAGATTAAAGAGATACAATTTAGAGTATCACTTCCTCTGCGTTTCTGGGGGTCAGAAATAGGAAGCCCACTTGCTTGCAGGTGTAAGGCACATTCTTTAATATCACCAATATAAGGAATAAAGTCAATAATATTTTTCTCAATCTTTTGTCATATATTTTAGTTGATTCAGAGCTCAGACATGGAGCAGGGGTGTATTTTTAAGGTCCTTTAAGGACCCAGGCAAATTGGAGCAACACTATAGGAATAGTTGGGGAGCCAGTGAGACACAGAAGAGGGGAGAAGAATTGTGGGCCCATTGTGAGACCCACCCCAGAGGGGAAAACAGAATCCATGCTCCCTAAGGGCAGCTTGCTTTTAAGAGTTTCAAAGGGAAAATGCCAGTGCTATGCAAACCTGGTTCTTCTTGCCAACTCACCATTCAGGTAAGTCATTCCTGAGATAGAGAAGGAGTGTGTAGAGGCTAGAAATCCCTTGGTCATGAATGTCCTGCCACGTGGAAGAAAATATCAGGAACAAAGGTTAAGAATTTCCACCAGACAAACTTTTGTATGTTTCAATTGACTAGGTTTCTGCTTACTAAATGACTAATATTCTAGGCCTGCCTCCCTGAAATAACTCTATGATTCCTTAAATTGTGTTTGTAGGTGTTCCTAGATCATTCAGTCACATCATTGTAGACGGTCTCTTAGGTTTCTGCCACAGATGGGTCACTGCTTTGCATGGTGTGTGATTTTTACATGCTCACCCTCAGAGGGCTACCTTATCTCCAGGAACCCTGGGACACCTCACTGCGAATGGATAATACTCCCCTGCTGTCTCTTTATGAAGCAAACAAAGTTACTGGCAAAGGAACATGCTTTCTTCCACCAAACCGGGCAGACTTCTGCCGGTCGCCTGAGTCCCAGTCTAGTTGCTCTAATTAGAATGTTTTGTCAGGTGGAACGGAGCCCTGGTGATGCCGTGGTTAAGCGCTCAGCTGCTAACCAAAAGATCGGTGGTTCGAACTCACCATTCGCTCTGTGGGAGAAAGATGTGGCAGTCTGCTTCTGTAAAGATTATAGCCTTAGAAACTCTATGGGGCTGTTCTACTCTGTCCTATAGGGTCGCACTCTGTCCTATAGGGTCGCTGTGAGTTGGAGTCGACTTGATGGCAGCTGGTTGGGTTTGGTTTGGTTTGGTCAGGCGGAGGTCAGAAGGGCACAGGTGTTCTGCTTTCAGCGAAACACAAGGGACTTGCCATAGAAACCTGACATCAAGATGGCGACCATGAGGACTTTTCAGTACACACACATACATACACACATGCTCTCCTTCTTTCTCCAGCTGCAGAGATAACACGCACATACATGTACAATGCTCTCTTCCCCACTCTGTCTCTCTCTATCCAAGACCCTCTCTCATTGCCTGTGCCTGTGGATGGACAGCACCTCCAGGACACCTCTGGAGCAGGACCACGACGGCCCGTCTCTCTCCCTGACCAGACAGCAAGACACCGAGTCCCAAAGCGGGAAAGAGGCCCCTTGGTCCTGGGACCCCTTGGTCTCCCTACACCCGTGGCAGAAGCACATTCCCCCTCTGCTGAGTCCCAAACACCTGAAGAAGGAATCTGCTCTTCTCACTGTCAAGTCAGTCTCCATTGCAGGGCTTTGAACAGGTTCATTTCAGTTCGAACTCCTGCTGAGATTTAGCATTTCTAACAAGTTCCCAGGTGATGCTAAAGCTGCTGGCTAGGGACCAATTCTGAGAACCACTAGTAGAGCATTGGTTCTGATTCAGTATACTGGTTCAAAGCCCTGGTATCTCCGCAGCTGGAGAGAGAGAGCGCTCAAGAGAGCTAGAGTGTGTGTGCGTGCGTGTGTGCGTGTATCACTGCAGCTGCCAGGAGTATTTATTGTGAGGAATACTTGAGGTAGTTACTGTGCAACTTCTCAGTCTCATTGCATTCCTAGCCCATATTAGGAACCAAGTCAGGCCTGCTGTTTGTTTTCCCCTGGTTTATGTGACCCTAATTGCTCTCCCTGTACTGTGACAGCACAC